GAATAATACAACAATAATAATAATAATAATAATAATAATAATAAGGAGGATGATGAGGATTATTACCCGGCGGCGGATTTATTTCCGTTTTATTCTCTTGGCCGATTTTTCTTCTGTGAAATTTCCGCGAAAATATTTTTGCTTTTTGTAGATAATATTCGGAAAAAGTACAAATATACCCCAATATAATCGGGGAACACGGGGGACGATCGGGGGAGATAGTGGAAGAACATCGGGGAGCACAGGAAGATCGGGGAACACGGGGAAGAACATGGGGAACACGGGGAAGATCGGGGAACACGGGGAAGAACATGGGGAACACGGGGGAAGATCGGGGAACACGGGGAAGAACATCGGGGAACACGGGGGAAGATCGGTGAACACGGGGGAGAAGATCGGGGAACATGGGGGAAGATCGGGGAACACGGGGGAAGATCTAAAGCAGGAAAATCGTTTTGTCCAGAAGGAACAAAAATCGGAAACTTCCCCCAAATAATTCTCCTTATTTTTCTGTATTTCTGGAAATAAGAACGATGATTATATTATATATCTGACGATGTGACGTATGTTCTGTGATTATATCATCGGAATCCGATATTTCTATCAGTAGATTTCGTTCGGTATGAATTTTCTCCTTCTAGAATCGGATTTCCTGTCATTTATCTCCCGATATTTATCGTTTTTACTTTATTTCTCTGGGAAGAAACTTGGATTTTATTTCTGTTTTATCGGAGAAGATCGGAAATCTCCCGTCTGGGGCACCGACACCTCCGATTATTATTGTATAGAAGACATATTATTATTATTATTATTATTATTATTATTATTATTATTATTATTTCTATCGGTGAAGACGAATTTTCTTTACTAGTTATAAAAAAAAATCCCCCAAATTCGCATTTCATGTCCCCGATAATGGAAATAATAATAATGAGGAGGATGATGGGGGTGATGAAGAGGATGAGGATGATGAGGATGTTATGAAGAGCAGGTCGCTGTCCTACCTGAGTGTCGGCTCGGTCCCGGGTCTCAGTCCTCAGTCCTCTCCTCGGTCGGTCACTGTGCCATGTAGATGGGGGTTGGTCTCTGGAAAGACTTTTGAAGTCAGGCGTCGCCCTGTGATTGGTCCGCCCAGCTGTCAGTCACAGAGGATGGAGGAGTCCCCGACACAGCACACACTCACCTGATGCCCCCACCGATCGGACGGACATATATCTGTACAATTCTTTCCATGTGTGAGGGGACGCAGATCGCACGATTATCCGCAATTCTCCGCAATCAGAAAACTTCTCAAAATAAAAACTTTCCGACCAGAAGCAAAAACAGACAAAAACTGACCGATCGGCCGCATTGTCCGTGTGTGTCCCATCTACTTCCTCATCCGACCGGTAATAATACTCAGAATAAATCTTCTACAAATCGTACCGATAATATCAGAGATTCTCCTTATATACTATTGATGATATCGGGGAGATGATTGATCGGATGATACTTTCCATCCTTCAATACGAATTCTCAGATTAGGGACACATCGGGCTCTGGGATCCCACGATATAATCGTTCATCCGATCCGGAGAGATCCGACAACGAATTGGACGAAGTTTCTTTTCTTTTCTTTTTTATAGAGTCAGAAAGAGAAATGTTCTCCGTAATATCTGCGGGTGTCATATCGGCTGATTGTCCGACCCCACACACACGCACACACACACTACTGACCCGGATAGGGGTGAGAGCAGAAACTATAAATCCCGAATATATTGACCGATCCATCCTGGGGG